AAGAGATCTCTACTTAAGGCATGCTTCTAAGATTTAGAGATCGTACAGTGAATTTGGATGGTTTCTTCCTTCGATCAGTTGTGCACATAATATATTTTGAGAAACATCCATTAAGGGACTAAGAATAAACGTAGGATTTGTTCATAAAGAACCTAAGTTAGGGAATTTAAATGCATGTGATCATAGAAGATATTACTCACTTGATTAGTAGATGACGTATTACTATGGTTCTTGTGTTTTGTTCTTTAATGAAGGTTGTGCCAGTACTTGCACCAAGTTGGAGAATGTAAGTATTTCCCCTAAATACAAAATATTATAATATATTGTATTATTAGGTGGCTATGGTGCAAGTAGGAGATTAAGTCAATTGGTGACTTAATCTGTTAGGTAACTGAGGATATTCAGTTTAGCTTAAACTGAATATCTGCCTATATTGATGACATGTAGGCTTCTAAGCAAAATAGTCCTCCACAGCTCCCGTGTTCAGGATACACGCACCATCAGGTATTCGGGAGAAAAGTGGTAGACAAAACACTCTGCAGGTTTACCATCCTAGCGGCAACACTAACAACTATGGCAAGGGATATTCAGATGATCCTGAAGCTTGCGCTACTGCAAGTCAGGTTACTCGTTACTTTAATTTATGTTAGCCTTATTATTGTCTAACACTTAAAACACAACCCACAATATATTTTTTTAAAAAACATTAAATGGAACAAATAATCCATACTCTCTATCTCTATCTCTCTCTCTCTCTATCTATCTATCTATCTATCTATCTATCTATCTATATATATATATATATATATATATATATATATATATATATATATATATATATATATATATATATATATATATAAAAGAACATTGGTTTTTATAAGAATTTAATTACAGGAAACCAAGTTTAGGTCAATAAAAGCAAAAAATAATAAATGATACTTTCAAGTATGCACATATAGAGATATTTTAATCTATTAGCCTTCAATTCTTTCTCAAAATAAGAAGAAGTATCTTCATTAGATGAAGAGGAACCACTTTCCACCATCTTCTTCTGAATCTTGCTATCGACTTTTTTTTTTCTTTCTTTATAACTTGTTTTAAAGCCGAATCCATTTTCTGCTTGTTTTTTTTTTTTTTTTTTTTTTTTGCGCTAGCCTTCTAGACCGCAGCTTTCGCTTCTCACTTAACTACAAAGTCACCAAAAAATAATGATTGTTTTAAACAAAACAATAATACAAAAAAAAATACATATAATACAAAAATTTAAAAAAACAATAATTAAAAACTATGGAAGATCAATTACGAAAAAATACTTTTCTAAAAAAAATTAAACCTTTTTTGCATCGGCTTAGTCAGAGCAACTACAGCTGGTCTGGAGTGGCATCAACCCGGACAAATCCATAATAAAGAATGTAAATGAAAAAATAATAACTTTTTTTCACAGAATTAGAAATAGCTAGAATTTACCTTTATTGCATTGAAATATGCATATCAATTTGAGAAGCTATTGAACCACAATGATTAAATTGATAAATTGGTGATGAGAGAGTCACCTGCAAGAGAAAAGAGGGATGCAAGGTAAAATGAAGACTTTAATTTTTTTTTAGTCATGAACTCATTGTATTTATTTATTTAAGTTATTGCCATAATTAATTTATTATATTGATATTCCTAATCAAGTCATCAAGTCATTATATGAATATTCCTAATTAATTTTATTCCTAATTAATTCATAATATTGATATTACTAAATTACCCCTAAGTTTGAGCGGGAAAATAAAATAGGAGAATTTTGTTTATATATATATATATATATATATATATATATAATACATACATACATATATATACCACGTGCATACCACGTGCAGTCATTCAATTATTCAACACTCATTTATTACTCCGTACTTGTACAGAAAATGTCAATTACTTAGTACTTGTATAGCTGTCTAGCACATGCACTTGTTCAATTATTTAAAGAAAAAATAATAATAATGGGCATGTTTCGTTATTGGTGGATCCGCCAAAATTTTGGTGGATCGGTCGACTTTGACCTTTTGACCACGGTCAAAACGCCAAAGTCATTGTTTGGTTAACAGCAGTTTGGAGTAGCGAATTGCTCCAAACAGTTGATTTTAGAAACGTTGCATATATAGCAGCGTTTCTCTTTGACATTTTGGGCTTGCCCAAAACGCCCTTATATATTAAAAAAAAAAAAAATTAACGTTGTTGTTAATTGAAATGAGAAGCCTCAGGTTTCATTAATAATGAAGCCTGGTGCTTCTAATTCGGCAAATTATGTTGTGCATCCGTATGCACCATGCATGGTGCATACGAATGCAAAAACGACATCGTTTTATTAAAAACGTGCGTCTCATTTAAAAAAAAAAAATCAATTTCGATTCCTAGCAACAACCTTATATTGTGCTTATATATCCAGAAGCAATGAACTAAAATTCCAGAATCGATGAACTAAAATTCCAGAATCGATGAAGTAAAATTCCAGAATCTATGAACTAAAATTTCAGAATCTATGAACTAATTAAAATTCCAAAATCGATGAACTAAAATTCCAGAATCGATGAACTAAAAATCCAGAATTAATGAACTAAAAATCCAGAATCTATAAACTAAAAATCCAGAATATATGAACTAAAATTCCAAAATGAATGAACAACATAATGCTGTTGAGGGGAATCGAAACTGAATTTTTTTTTAGGTGGGATGCGCGTTTTTAATAAAACGACGTCGTTTTTGCATCATGGTGCATACGGATGCACAGCATAACTATTGTTCTAATTCCCTGCCCTGGGATGCAAATTGGGGCGTTCAGCTCCCCTTTTAATGAGGGAGCTCAACGCCCTTTTTTATTTATTTATTGTCGATGTGGGATCAGATTTGATCCCACATCACATTTCTCTTCTTCTTCTTTTTTTTTTTTTTTTAAAAATTATTATTATTATTATTATTATTATTATTATTATTATTATTATTATTATTATTATATGTATACTCTTTTGGTCATTTTACATGTTAACCGCTAATCTAAACCGTTAATTTTACCAAACATCTTTTTACAGACCGCTAATATAATCCGTTGGTCAAACCCACTAACACAATCCGCTATTTGTTAACCCCTAACACAATCCGCTAACGCTAACCACTAACTGTTGTTTGCCAAACAATGCCAATAAGCCCGAATGAGTAACTCAGTTGGTCACAGGGATAAAATTTGAGAAGAATAATGTAGAAGCAATCTCTCAAAGTGAAGGGATCCTTGTGTACAGTAAGCAAATGTCTAGCCTCTGTATTCAGCTGAGTTACAATGATTTACATTCTTCCATATGCTCTGTCGGGTCGGGACGTGAGATTTTGAGAACCCTTAGAGGGCGTTTGGTTGGGAGTAAGGAATTAGGGTGGAAAGGAATTGCAATTCGGTGGGAAAAGAATAAGATGTGAATAAAGTAGGATTTCAAATTACATTGTTTGGTAGGGATGAATAGAATTATTGGGTAGGGAATGAAAGAAGTGATATAAAGACTAAAATGTCATTGTGTAATAATAATAGTAGTAATAAAATTAAGGGTACTTTTGTCATTTCATCCCTTTTTCCTTTTCCCACAACCACCGAATTGCAATTCATAGGGGGGTGCCCATGAATTGCAATTCAGCAAAAGGAGGGAATTGCAATTTCCTCCAACCAAACAGCGTAATTGTGGCTTTCACTGAATTGCAATTCAACTACAGCCAAATTACGCCAAACCAAACAGGCCAGAGTTTGGGATTCAACCTTTCGGGAAGAAATTTAAAGAAAAATGACACCTTAAATTATTTATTTATAATACTTTTCTACTTAAATTATTCATGTATTTATATTTGTCTATTCAATTAGTTTTAAAAAGGTTATTTTTTTCCACTAGTATTTTCACCCGTACGTTGCACGAAATTGATTTGTTATAATATTTTAAGAATATTTAAATCGATAACACGGGAGAATCTGAATGATAATTTATTTTATTCTCATAGTATTATATATATATATATATATATATATATATATATATATATATATATATATATATATATATATATATATATATATATATATATATATATATATAGAATTATTAGATTTTATATAGTAATAGCTTAGAAGATAGTTTGGACGGGAAGTTACAAAAGTAAAATTTTGTTTTTATTGTTCGTATGGAGTATAAATATAGAAGTATAGATTTAGGTTCAATAGACATTTATACTCTTAAAAATAAGACTTAATTCCACCAGAGGTCCATTGTCATTGGTGACAATTCCAAATTTAGTTTAAGACTATCGCTTTTGTCATTTAACATCTCTATACTATTATTTTTTGAACATTTTTAGTCCTTCTCGTGACTGTTTTTTATTTTTAGTAAGTGCATTTTTGTCTCTTTATATTTTTCTTTTGTTATTTTTTCAATTTCAACCGGTTTAATTGGTTTAAGACTTTACTAAAAATTGGTTGAAAAATATGATTACTAAAAATCAGAGGTTATCTAAAATTATAAACCAATTAAATTGGTTGAAACCGAAAAAATAATAAAAGAAAAATATTAAGAGACAAAAACGTCATTACTAAAAATTTAAAAAAAAAAGTGATTAAAATGACTAAAAGTGTTCAAAAAATAATAGTCTAGAGATTTTAAATGACAGAAACGATAGTCTATGACTAAATTTAGAATTGTCACAAAAAACAAGGACCTCTGGTGAAAGTAACTCTAAAAAATAATGACAAAATAAATATTTTATTTAATTTTTTCAATAATTTATTACTTATATGTGAAAAATACGGAGTTATGGTCTAGCTCACACTAAGATTTGCCCTCTATTTGGTTGGGAGCTCACTGTGTAAAGCTAGTACTAAAATTTGCCCTCTATCTATCATATTTGTTCCAGATTTCAGACCAAACTTTCTTTTTTTTTTTTTTTTTGGAAAGCAGATTTCAGACCAAACCTTTTTTTTTTTTTTGGAAAGCAGATTTCAGACCAAACCTTTTTTTTTGGAAAGCAGATTTCAGACCAAACCTTGATTTGGAACCCCAGACTTCATACCATCTATCTTTCTGCACTAAAGCTAGCTAGCTTAGTACACTGAATGGCGTATGTTGTTGTAACTTCTTTACTGGGAATAGTAGATCACCAACTTCTGAAACGCCATCCACCAATTCTTGATGATACACAGATAGCGAAATCCTTGTCTGAGAAGCTGGGCTTTGTCCAAGCCATTCTATCAGCCAAAAAAACCATAAATCAAGAACTAGAGGCAAAAATCAGAGACATAGCTGTTGAAGCAGAGGCTGAAATTGAGTCACAACTCGGAGCGGTTTACTTGGCCAATGAAGATTCTGTAGCTGAGGCTTCTGATGGGCTTCACCAGATCTTGAGAAAAGTGTTAAAAGATATCGACTCACTTGAAGTCAGGATCCAAAATGAAAAGGAAAACAACCCTGGGAATAAAATGATAGGATGCGAGGATGAATTTGGGAAAATAATGAGCATGGTCGTTGGTCACCGGTCTTATAATAAAGATCGGATAGTCATCCCAATTACAGGCATGGGTGGCATTGGAAAGACAACACTAGCTAAAAAAGTCTACAACGATCCACTTATTATGTCTCACTTCGAGATTCGAGCATGGACAGTTGTGTCTCAAGAATATCAGCTTAAAGAGATGCTCATACACCTTTTACATTGCACCAATCCGAAAACCATCAAACTTTACAGCGAGGATTGTGGTAAGCTAAAAGAAGAACTGCGCAAAAGTTTGTTGGGCAGAAGGTATTTGCTTGTCATAGATGACATATGGAGCCATGAGGCATGGGATGAAATCATTAGATGTTTTCCGGACAATATCAATGGAAGTCGAATCCTGATCACTACACGAGAGAAAGCTGTGGCTAAATATGCAATACAATCAAGTAAGGGTAGGTATATTCATTCCTCACGTTTTCTAGACACACAGGAAAGTTGGGATCTATTTGAGACAAAGGTGTTTGGGAGAAAACATTCCTGCAAGCCTAAGTTTGAGCCAATTGGAAGATGTATTGTTAATAAATGCCAAGGATTGCCACTTGCCATTATTGTGATAGCAGGAGTTCTAGCTGCACTGGACGACAAGTCACCCAAAGCCTGGCAAGATGTTTTTGAAAATATGAACTCATCATTCGATCCTGATAAGAAGCTTTTAGGAATGCTCTCTTTGAGCTACAACTATTTGCCTAGTCACTTGAAAGCTTGTTTAATTTATTTGGGAGTTTTTCTCGAAGACAGTGACATTCCTGTTAGCAAATTGATCAACTTATGGGTTGCAGAAGGATTTTTAAAGGAAGACGGGGATAAGAATTTGGAACAAGTGGCGGAGAGTTACTTGCATGATCTCATTAATCGAAATCTAGTTCAAGTTAGCAAGCAAAGCATAGATGGCAAACTGAAGTCGTGTAAGCTTCATGATATGTTGTATGACTTGTGCAGGAAAGAAGCTGAAAGGGAAAATTTTTTGAGTGTTGAAAAGAAATTACAATCTAGAGACACCAGAGATTGTCGTTGGATCAGCGGCACATCTACTCGCTGGCCTACTTCTCATAAAGTTCATTCCATTCTGTACTTTGGTAAGGATGTACACCTTGCAAAGTCCATGTTGGTATTTTCAGGCTTGAAGATGTTGAGAGTATTGGACTTATCATTAATAAAATGTTGGTACGGCTTGCCTATTGAACTAGAGGATTTGGTTCACTTGCGATACTTGTCTTTATCTGCTTTAGGCTCTATTGCTAACTTTAAGCTGATTAAGCTTCGAAATTTGCAAACTCTCATTTTTCGCTCATGGAAGAAAGGATGTCGTTTGCAATTGCCTCGAGATATTTTGGAATTGCCATGGTTAAGGCACGTACACATTGACAAGATATCTTCGCTATATCTGCCACAACAGGTTCAAGAAAATCTGCAGACTCTTCTTTGGTTGAAAGTTATTGGCAAAGACTCAAGAACAACGGACTTTACAAAAGTTCCAAAGTTGAAGGAACTATGGGTTTACATTGACAATGAACTGCTGCCTAGTGCTTTTGACAGTCTTGTCAAGTTGAATTTGCTTGAGAAATTAAAAATTGAAATGAGAAGTGTTAAGCGCTTTTATTTTCCAACTTCTCTTCCAGAAAACCTCAAAAAGTTGACTCTTCGAAGTACTTATCTTCCGTGGAAGGACATGGATATTATTAGAAGCATGCAAAACCTCGAGGTTCTCAAGCTGAAAAATTTCGCATTCTACGGTCCAGAGTGGAAACTAGAAGATGGTTTGTTTCCTAAAGTAAAGCACCTTGTCATTGCACATTCAAATCTCAAATGTTGGAATGCAGATGCTGAGAATTTCCCCAAGCTGGAGTGCCTAATCCTGAAATTTTGCTGGGACTTGAAAAAACTTCCAATTTACGCTTTTTCAAATGCACTGCGACTAATAGAGATAGACAGTTGTTATCCTTCCCTCGTGAAATCTGCAGAGGAAATGCAAAAAGAGCAACAAGAGCTTGGCAATGATGCGTTTGTTATTCGTGATCTTGGAGCTAAGGTTGATATCCTATTCTCCTTCTTGATATTGAAATAATATTAATATTCTGTGTATTCTTTTTTTCTTATGTCTTCCAATTTTCTTCCCATTGTAAACTTTTTCCATAGATTGGGTTGCCATACAACGAAAACTCTGAAGAAGAGAATGAAAGCTGTGAATAAGTAAAAACTGCTTGCAGGCAAGGTATGTATATCTATGCACCATATGCATCAACCTCCTTGTATGTATATATATCTATTTTAGTTCAAAGGCACAGTTCTATTTGCAAAAGAATTGACGTTTTTACTTTGAACTTATCATTCTTAAAGGGGATTTTATAGAAGGTATTCCAATGAATGTTATGCTTCTGAGCATTTATTCACACACAATGAGTATATACCTAAGATAAATTTAGCAAGGTGACTCTGTTGTTATCATATTGTAATCGCAATATGGTTGTGACTCTGTGAGGTTCAAACCAATTGCATCTACTTCTTTATAACATCATATAAAATAATTTATTGTTTTAGGTGGCAGATGAACCTGAAAAACATATAAAGTAGTTATCCAATTTTGTGCTTGTGAAAAGGGTGATGCTAAACTCTTTGGAAGATACCATTTGATCTGTCAAAATTTGTACAGGTAGAAGAAGAAGAATTCACGTTTGTTGAGGTCTTGCAATGGCAGATGATTCCTCAAGAAGCTGCAAGTTCATTAGGAGCGCGCAAATTTCTTTCTAATCTTGTCTTGATTGTTGAAGTCCTGTGTGTTTTTCTCTGCTGTTCTTGAATTTTCACACTCTCTTGTTACAGATGTTCATTGTGATTGTTATCTATATTGCTAGGGACATCGAAATTACACACTGATGTTCAAATTCCATATCTCCAGAATTAGTTGGTGTATATTAGAACCAAGATTGAAGATCATTCCCACTATTTCATAAATCTTTGATTTTGCAGCGGATGAACCATAGAAATCATGGAGATTTATTTATTTGTTTTGGGTGATATGAAAAACTTGTAGTCATTACTCAATGGCGTAGACTTCGCCTTGTAGCTTTAGTCTGCAAAAGGTCACATATGATTCTGCATATGGATTCAAAGTAAATGAGCTTGTCTTCATTGCAGCAAAGCACATGTTGCTTCTTCAACCTTGTCTGATAGCATTCCTTTTAGCTGCAAAACTGTGGGTTTAATGCTTAGTTAGTTCATCCTTCTTAAGAATGGAACATCTACGCTTTCATCTAAACACCAAATTACCTCCCACTGTTTCTCTTCATCTATGATGAAAGGGATTGGATAATCCTGGGTAAAAGTTACAAGATCGACAGTCTGGGTTTTAGCCCACTCGTTCTTGCTGTTATTCATGAGAACCCAGATGTTGATTTGATCTCCCTCATCACAAGAGAGAGACAGCTTTGAATTCTATTCTCTTGGCAGGCATCACATACCTCCAATTTGAAAAGAGATTTTCTGGGATTTAGCGGTTTTAATGCTCTCCTTCTCTGCGCCACCCACAGAATATTCTTGTCGTCGGCTTCCATTGTGACGACATAGAAAATATTTTCAATAATCAGAGCGTATATCTTTGGCTTCGGGCCGCTGTTTCTAATGCAGTGTATGGAGTTTGCTGGGTGAAAGTTGTTTTTTAGTGGGAGTATTTAGTGAGTATCGTCATTAATTAAAGGGTGGCTAGAAAAGATTTGCGTAGAGAAGGGTTAAACACAAGTACTCAAGTACATTGAGTGTTTGAGAGATAACCCGAATGGAATAGAGAATTGCATATAGTAACTAGTGCAAAAGAAAGGACCTTGCATAGATGCTTTTATAGGGTGTTTGGTTGGGATTAATGAATTAGGAAGGAAAAGAATTGTAATTCGGTGGAAAATGAATAATGTAGAAATAATGTAGGAATTCAAATTACATTATTTGGTAGGAGAAATAAAATTATTGTGAATGATAATAAAAGAAGTGATATAAAGACTAAAATGTCCATGTGTAATAATAATAATAATAATAATAATAACAGCTAAGCGTATTGTTGTCATTTCTTCACTTTTTCCCTTTCTTACCAGCATTGAATTGGAATTCATGGGATACCCCATGAATTGCAATTCAACAAAGGGAGGGAATTACAATTTTGTGGATATAATTGCGTGTTTTTTTTTTTTTTTTTTTTTTTTTTTAAATCTAGTTTAGATTCCTACCTAGAATCCCTTTAAATTAGGAAAAATATTGTATTCCATTCATAAACCAATTCAAAGAACAAAATGAAATTACAATGCCACTTTTAATATTGTATTTAATATATCTTTATATAAATTAGCCTTTTCATAATTAATCTTAACCATTAATTACAATAAATTGGATGATTGAGATGGAATTTCATGATCTCATCTATAGGTGGTCCCATATATATATATATATATATATATATATATATATATATATATATATATATATATATATATATATATTGTTGATCAAATGGTTCACCTAAGAAAATTGCACGGTTAGCAAGTTCTTGGACACGTGCATGAAACTCGACTATCGACTCATCTTCTTTCATTTTCAGATCTTCAAAATCAGATTGGACCATTTATAGTTTGGACTGCTTGACTTACTTCGTTCCTTCATAGGTAGTTTCCAGCGTCTCCCATGCGTCTTTGGCAGAGTCACAGCCTGCAATACGAGTGAACTGGCTTTCATGCATTAAAGAATAAATAATGTCCAACGCCTTATTGTTGTATCCAGCGGTTGTCTTCTCAGGATCTGACCATTCTGTCTTTGGTTTGAGGACTAGAGGAACTTCTGGAGTGGCTCCAGCTTTGGTAGGATGAGTCCACCCAGTAAGAACCGCCCTCCAAATCCTCTCCCCTTGAGCTCGTAGGTGCATCTTGGTACGGGGCTTTCAGTAAGCATAGTTGTCACCTGTTAGTTCAGGAGGTTCTCTATGTCGTTCCATTCTGCAAGACTCAATGCACGTGAAATACAAACAAGAAAAGCAAAGAAACAGAATAAGTAACAAATATTGAGGGCTTGAGTTCAAGAAACACGTTGAAGCCAGATCGGTTAGACAAATAACTTATGTCCCGGGCTCTTATACCAATTGTAAAAGTGTGTGGATCTTGAATGCAAGACTTTCTCCTATGGTTCCTACTTAATTTTATATTTGATTATGAATCTGGATTAGAGTTAGGATCTGTGCCAGACATAACGAACAAGAACAAAAAGTAAAAGATGAACCAGACACCAAGATGTGTTCAAGTAGTTCGGGGCCTCACTCCTACGTCTGCGGGGCCACTCACGTCAGCCCAATCCACTAGATGATCAACCTGAGTACAAGGGAGAGTTCAATACACACTACGGTATCAACTACACTAACCCAACCAATTCTACATCATCACTATGGACTGATCGTGCAAGCCATCTTCATTCTGTCAAGAGGTGTCTTCAACACTCGAACAATATGGATAGAAAAGTGTTGAGATTAACAAGAACAAGAAAAATAATAATGGCATAAAGGGTAAATAAGAGCAAGATTTACGTGGTTCGGCAAAGTGCCTACATCCACGGGAGCGAAATAATTCTCTTATTATTTGTGATGGTGATAGTGGTGACGATGTGGTGACACAATCCTTTAGGGATACAACCAATATATTTATAGGCATCCAATCCCTATACAACAGGTCTACCCGTTTCACTCCTACTCCTAGTATGAGACAAACACTTATTCCTAATCCATATATGAGACAAACTCAACAATCTCTACCTTCGCAAATATGTTCTTTAGGAGAAAAGATAACTCAACAATTCTCCACCTTGACGAATATGCTCTTTAGGAGAAAAGACTTATCTCACCATCTCCACCTTCACATATATGCCCTTTAGGAGAAAAGACTTCTCCACCTTCGCAAATATGTCCTTTAGGAGAAAAAGATAACTCAACAAATCTCCATCTTAGCAAATATGTCCCTTAGGAGAAAAGACTTATCACACCATCTCTACCTTCACAATTATGCCCCTTAGGAGAAAAAAACTTATCTCACATATACACATGGGTAGGAACAACCATGCTCATCCCAACTAGCCAGCCACATGCATACGCAGCATCAAACGTTACCCAGTGCATGTACACGAACCGCTTTGTTCCAAGCCATTCGCCCCTCAGCCGTCGACCTGTTATACCGCCGCGACTCATGCTAACTGCCCCGTTTAGCTGACTTCCTGCATCCGGCCCATACCAGGTCCATATCCCCTCCTGGTATCCACGCTGCCCCAACACAACAGCGCCCCTGCAAAGTCACACTAAACTCGTGTGCCTTGCCCAATGCTCCACTAACCAGCAATTACCACTAGCCAGCAACACGCACAACGCAGCACCAAACGTTTCCCAGTGCATGTTCACGAACTTCTTCGTCGTCCCGAGAAGTCCTCCCATACCAAACCCATATCGGCCCTAACCAGTGCCATACCGGCACATACCGAGCCCATATAAGCCCATACCGATACCAGCCGTGGCTCGTGACAAGCTCGACCCATACCAGCCGTGACTCATGCCAAAAGCCCAGCCCATACTAGCTGTGACTCATGACAAGCCCAGCCCATACCGAGCCAATATTGACCCATATTGATACCAGCCGAGACTAATGACAAGCCCAGCCCATACCAGGTCCGCGACCCCTGGTATCCGCGCTGCCCAACACCACAGCGCCCGTCACCACCTTCTCATCTAGCATCTAGAAACGCCCAACAAGTCCAAACAATGTTCGAACTTGTTACTAGTTGCCGCTAGAACATCACCTTTACTATAATAAGAGCCATCAGCATGTACCACGTCCGTAGCTTCCTGCTTCTTCAACTCCTTCCAATCAGCCTCTTTCAGATTTGCTGGATTTTCCGCCCTCAAGGTTTTCAGAAGGCCCTGATATGCCAACAAATCCTTTATCCTAGACCGCCATAACCCAAAATTCCTTATACCATCAAACTTTGATACCTTGAATTTTGTACTTGAACTAGCCATCTCAACTATACTCTGATACCAATTTGTTGAGATTAACAAGAACAAGAAAAATAATAATGGCATAAAGGGTAAATAAGAGCAAGATTTACGTGGTTCGGCAAAGTGCCTACATCCACGGGAGCGAAATAATTCTCTTATTATTTGTGATGGTGATAGTGGTGACGATAGTGGTGACACAATCCTTTAGGGATACAACCAATATATTTATAGGCATCCAATCCCTATACAACATGTCTACCCGTTTCACTCCTACTCCTAGTATGAGACAAACACTTATTCCTAATCCATATATGAGACAAACTCAACATTCTCTACCTTGACAAATATGTTCTTTAGGAGAAAAGATAACTCAACAAAAAGAGTGGAGGACTAGGAGATGATATGATAGTTTTTCCCTTCAATCTTCGCATTTGATTAATCAAACAAAGTAGCATTTTATAGAGGTGGAAATAGGAACCTCCTTGTCTGAAATTGTGCAGCTACAAAGTCCTCAGGAGAAGCTGCACCGCAAGATTTAGATCAGCACATAAATAGGGTCTTGAAGGAATAACCTGTTGAAGGAGCATTCTGTTGACTGGAGCACGACCTGACCTTGATCCAGAATAAAAAGACTATACTATTTTGACAACTAATTAAGCCAAGATACAAGGGTCTAATGTGTAACATATTTTTACACTTACAGAGACTTTGCACCCTATTATGAATTTTGATACTCACTACAATGTTTATTTGTCTACTTTTGTTATCCTACTATTGGAATAAAAAAATTTAGTAATTACAAAACTCATTACCCTTTTACTCATCTACTTTAGAACAATGGAATAAAAAAAATAAGGGAGATGGAAGTAGTGAAATGAACAAAAGGATTTTGCATTGTATATATGCATAGGATATAAGAGTTAAAGTGAAAGAGAAAAACCAAACATCTATTGCATGCAAATGTATGATGTTTTTGTTTTTTCTCGTCAACACCACACCACACCACACAGCCAAAGGCTGGTGAATAATTAAAGACACAATACACAATTTAATTATTAATAACATTCTCTTAGTTCAATACATTATCAAACAAATGGTTGGCCAACAACCCGGAAGAAATATCATTTTGACAGATAACATTCAACAACATTAACCCTTCAAGGAATCCAAATAAGAAACAGATCAGACCAGAAGAACAATTAATCTTAATGAAAACCATCGCATTGACAGACAAATTCCAACATTAACTCATCAACTGCAACATCAGCAACTCAATGAAACATCATTTTGATACCAGGTAAGCAAATGAGAACCTCGACTTCAGCCAGCAGGGAGGGGCATATATATTTCTGGGAATCTTGCCTCATTATAGCTTCTATATGATTACCTTCAAGAAACACAAATTTAAAAGCTAAAATTATTTGCAAATAACTAAATACAGTGTAGGGTCCCCCCTTTTTGCCAAATGTCATCTTTCTAGGCCAAAAAAAATGTATATAAGTTTCAACCATTTTGAGGAACTCACATTTTTCCTGCCTTGCAAACCGGTGGATGAGGTAAATTTTAGAATAGAGAAAATGGTATTTCAAAATTAGGAACAATTTATAGAGAAAATGACATTCATGAATTATGTACATGTGATTATTTTTGTTGTGGAATGTGTAAATAATTATATGTAAAGTTAGATGATGGATAAAAATAAATATAAATGTGAAGTGATTTTATCAACTCGATACAAATTACAATGTAGTATGAGTCAATGACACCTCTACCTGGGATAGCTACAGTTATGCCGCTTGACCACAAGGTCTTTGCAAGCATATTAGTTGAACAAATTATTAATAGATTTGATGCTGAAATATTAGAGTAATGAAATGCTAATAATTATAAGCATTTGGTGTACAAAATGTGCATAAATCTATATACACAAAATATGGATGTACAATACTTAATTGGTCATTAAGTACATGTTAATTAAATCCATTTGGACCTACTAATTGGATTGAATTTAGGTCAAGCTAAGCTATCTGAAAGTGGACAGATTTTTGTGTTAAACATTAATACATTATTATATATATGTAGCAGTTGTGTATTAGGATAAGACTTATCCATATAGTTGAATTCAAAATTGAACCAAAGAATGTTGGCATGCAATTTAACTTCAATTCCATCAACAGCTATCCTGACTATGGGGTAAACGAGAACTGAACTCGAAATAATCTATATATGCGCAGAACTCGATTCGATTAAAGAATTTAAAGCTCAAATTCAATCAAGCTTTAATTTTTTGAACTCGAGTTCAAGTTATTCAAGCTCAACTCGAATACGCTCATTAAAGTTTTTTAAAATCTATTTTTATATAATAATAAATTTTCATCCAAATATTACATTTCGACAATAGTCCTTTTATAGCATATTAATATAAATATATAAATATATTAGTTAAATTACTAATATTATATTTATATTAGGTATAAAACATAGAAAAAATTACCTTAGTAAAGAATTGATAAGAAGAAAATAAATCAAATTCATGTTTTGAAGATTTATTAAGTTTTATTCATACTATAGAAAAAATATCCACCAATTTTATATAGCAACTGCATAAGAATTTTATAATAATCAGAAAAAATATATGAAATGCAATATCCTATGAATATTAATGTTCCAGAGGATATGAAAATTGATTGGTGTTAATATTCCATAGGTACATACCTTGCCTAAATAAGTTTTGCTCAATCACAAAACAATCATATTGCATATTTACTCTCTTCTTTAGAGCTTTCATCCTTTGGCAATTTGTCCTAGGGAAAAGAACATAACAGAGAAATGAGGAATTTTAAAATAAACTAATTCATAGAATCAAAAGACTTAGAACTCGGTATTTAAAATCAAAAAATGAGAATTGGAGATAAACCTCAGTTAAAAAATGTCGAATAAGAAGACGTTCAGATTTTTCGATTTCAATAATCTCTCGTTGAATCATCTTTGCAGAATTCACAAGAGAAGGACAACAATCGATTAACTCGATTAATCGAAGACGGTAATTCCGTGCAAAAGCGCTTGGAAGTTCTTTCAAGTACCAGCAACATCTTAAGGCTAAGCACTCCAAAACTGGGAACACATCTTTATCTAAATCCCAATGTTCGAGATCGGAATGAGCAACAAGTAAGAACTTTAATCGACGAAACGTCTCAACACTTGATTTCCACACTGGGCCACAAAAGGCAAAATCTTTTAGCTTGAGTACTTCAAGATTGGGAAGTTTGCCAATAATATCCATCTCCTCCCATGAAAGATAGGTCTTACAAAGAGTCAACTTCTTGAGATTCAGTGGAAAAGAATTTGGGAGACAAAAGTGCTCGACCCTTCCTAATTCAAATTTTAACTTCTCAAGATGATATAACTGAGCAAGACTATCAAGAGCATCACTCGACACTTCACCTTCAATGTAAATCCCCAATTCCTTCAAATTTGGAACCCTTGTGAAATCCAGGTGTTTTGAGTTCCAACTAGCAACTTTCAACCAGAAAAGAGTTTGTAGATTTTCTTGAACTGAGCTTGGGAGATCAAGTGAAGATCCCTTGTCAAGGCACACATGCCTTAACCAAGGCAAATCCAAAATATCATTGGGTAGTTGCAAATGACACTCTTCCATCCATGACGAGAGAATGAGAGTTTGCAAACTTTGGAGTTTAAACAATTGAAAGTTATAAAGAGAACCTGTAGTGGTTAAAGCTAAATATCTCAAATGAATTAAGTTTTCAATTTCATTGGGCATTCCGTTCCAGTATTTTATTAGAGATAAATCCAAAACTCTTAACAATTTGAGACATGGAAATATGAACCTGCACTTTCTAAGGTATAAATCTTTTCCAAAATAGAGAAGGGAACGGATTTTACCCCAATTATAATTCAAAGAACTTGGAGTAATTGGCCAACGACGGGATTGACAACTCATCCAACAACAGCCAAGTTTTGATGATTGTTCTTCTGTTCCAACAAGATCATCTCTATATTCATTACTAACAACCAACATCTTCTCTTCTTGTGCTTTCCTCAAGCAAAAGTTACGTAGCAAATCGTGAAGCCTACATGATTTGACTTTCCCATCAAAACTTTGCTTCACAACTTGAACTAGATTTCTGAGGATAAGATCATTCAAGTAATCCATTGCTACCTCTTCCAAACTCTTACCCATTTCCGGCTCTAAAAATCCCTCAGTCACCAATAATTTCATCAATTTCTTGACATCAATGTCACTGTCCTCAGGAAAAATTGCCAAATATAGCAAACAAGTTTGCAGGTAGGTTGGCAAGTTATTGTAGCTCAATGCAAGTACCCCTGAAACTGAATGAGAGTCCATTCCCATTAATGTTGAATCAATATTTTGAGCAAAATCCTCCCACTGCTCTGGTATTATGCCATGCCTTTTGAGAAGTCCGGCAATCAGAACAATTGCTAGTGGTAATCCACCACATTTCTCAACAATTTTTCTCCCAATTGGCTCAAGTTCTTGTGGACAAACTCCTATTTTAAACATTTTCCTAACAAATAGATTCCAGCTTTCAACTGGATCTAGAAAACGTATATGGTAAATAAATGCTTTTGATGAGGAAGCATTTTCAGCCACTTGCTGTATTCGAGTAGTTATCAGAACTCGACTTCCATTGTTATTGTCAGGAAAATATGTTTGAATGTCATCCCATACTTGTGTACTGCAAAGATTATCAATCACAATCAAATACCTTTGGCCTATCAGACTCCTGCGGACCTGTAATCCTAGCAGAGCAACAGTATCGTCTCCTTGGGGGATTTCGGTGTTCCATGAAGCAATACATCGTAAAAGGCTCAAAAGTACTTGGCTTCTACTGAATCCTTCAGATACATAGATCCATGTTAGAATGTCAAACTTAATCAAAACTGATAGATCCTTATAAACTTTTTGAGCTAAAGTGGTTTTCCCTGCACCACCCATTCCAACAATTGAGATGACTTGTCGTTCCTTGTGCCCCCGGCCTCGGAGCATGCCCATTATTTTATCATATCCATCTTTGAGTCCGATCATTTCATTCTTAAAAGGAAAACAATAATCCCAGGTGGATGAGACGTTAGGGAGTGGTGATGGTAGATCCCATATCGGTTTCACAAGAGACTGTAAAGTAGCACTTTTCATCGCTTGTATTTGTGATTGAGTTAGAGTATTGCCTTGAGTGTTGCACCACCTCTCCACAACCACACGAGGTTGTATAGTGATATCATCAAGTGAGGCCTTTGGTAATAAAAAGGGGGAGAAGTTAGATAGTGGCGGCCGGGGTATACCATCATCATCAAGTGAGGTGATACTGGTAACGATACGGGTAGTACGTCTTATGTGCTGATCATTACTGATGCGCTCTTCAACCGACTCAATATCATCCATCACAACTTGAATTGTTGCAAGCTATATAGCTAATATAAGCTGTAGCACCCTAGCTCATCAACTGCATGCTTGGATTGTCACCTGACAATATTCACTTAGTTTGGACTCGATTTCAATCTTCTCATCTGCTTATTGCTCAAATGGATTGAACAAGAAATAATGATGGTGAAGAATAGATCCAGCCTTAGCTTAGTTATTGCATTGATGTGATGAGGAAACAAGAAATAATTTTGCACAACTATAGATGAGATGAGATCAGAGCATTATTGCATCAAGGATAGGAATATAGGATATGCTACTTTACTGCCAAGATAAGATAATAATGGATTATTTCACTTTTAGACTTTGACTCCTCCTGTTTCTAAGTATGCCAGCTGGCTGGACAATAATGTAAACTCCAATTTCAATTTTTATAAATATCATAGGTTGTAAATTATTTTTAAAACTTTTTTTTACTATACTGATAAGCTAAGTTTTTCATGTGGGTCTCAATGTAAGTGTTTACATCAAGATTTTGTATGTGTAAGTAAAAATTGGGAGTGTACATAATATTTTTCTTACTATATTTGAGAGTATTTTAGACATTTCAAATTAAATAATGTGGAATGCTTTTAAAAGGCAAGGACTCCCGTGTCGTGCCGGAAACCCGCGTCCACATAACACCGTAGACCATCCTCCCCTGGACCGTTCAAGTGGTCCGTCGCCGGTGCGGGCTCGGTTCGGCGGGCATGGGCAGTGCCGTATGCGTGCAGTGCTACGGTGCTCTGACCAATTGGGTAGGGCGCATCATTGATCCCTTTCAGACAGCTGAATTCCGGGTTCTCCAAATATAATATAACACTGCTACCATTAACCGGGTCTGCTCCTCCGTCAATGCCGCCATAGCCCCTTTTAGTCATGTTGTAAACGAGTCTGCAATAATATTAATAATAGGCAATTGTGTTATATTCCAAACAAGTTTAGAATATTCACAGAGCACTAAAGCATGCAACACATCTTCATGATCTAAACCACACATCGGGCAAGTTGGTTCCACCTCCACCCTTTTAAATATCAAATTAAGGGTTGTTGGTAAAATGTCACATATGGCTCTCCACAAGAAGGTTTTCCATTTAGGGGGGACTTTTATTTTCCACATTGCAACCCATTTATCAAAATTCGCTGGATTATTCTCATAATCACCCACAATACGCCTATAGGCATTCTTTACTGTATATGTCCCCTTTGGGTCACTCACCCAATACCATGAGTCCTCATACTCAGGACTAACAGGGATCATATTTATTCGCTCCACATCTTCAGGAAGAAATAAATCAGGCAAAATATGCGGATCCCAGGTATGAGTCTGTAAATCAATCAGTCCTGCAACTCGTGCCTCTCTCAATTGCTGTGGCATCTCTGTTTGAATCAATGGGTTGGGATTATTTCGTAACCACGGGTGCCCCCATATTAAAGTTGTCTGTCCATTCCCAATCCTCCTCCGCACCCCTGAGACTACCATTGCATGGGCTGCCATTATACTTCTCCAACAGTAACTTGGGCAATTACCAATAGTTGCATCTGTAAAGCTGGTTGTGGGATAATACCTTGCCTTATAAATTTTAGCTACGAGTGTTTCTGGGTCTGTCAAAAAACGGCATGCCTGTTTACCCAGCATTGCTAGGTTAAACGCCCTCAGCTCTTTAAAACCCATACCACCATACTTCTTTGGTATGCACATCCTGTCCCATGCCTTCCAATGTATTCCCCTTTCTCTTCCACTGCCCCACCAATACTTATTCATAGTTCGCTCAATTGACTGACAAACTGTTTCAGGTAACAAAAAAACACTCATCGAAAAGGTAGGCATAGCTTGCGCTACACTTTTCAATAACACTTCCTTACCGGCCTGAGAGAGTAACTTTTTACTCCACGAACCAATTCGCTGCCTGATTTTTTCCTCCACATATGAAAAAACAGCTCTCTTATTCCTCCCAACAAAAGATGGTAGGCCCAAATATTTCCCAAAATTGGGTGCTTGCACCACCCCCAGACAATTCGCTACCTGTGTCCTGTGAGCTTCCTGGGTATTTCTGCTAAAACATATATTAGATTTATTATAATTGGCCACCTGGCCTGACAATTTCTCATACCTCGCAAGGCACTGCCTTATAACTTCTGCCTCCGGGATATTTGCTTTAAAAAATAGGAGACTATCATCCGCAAAAAACAGGTGTGATACAGGCGGTGCCCCCCTCGCGACTCTGCACACATGTATTGAGCCTACCAACTGTTCATACTGTAATATCATCGAGAGAGCCTCTGCACAAATAATAAACAAATACGGAGAGAGCGGGTCTCCCTGCCTGAGTCCCCTGGTTGGTTTTACGTGCCCCCTACCATACCATTGACCATTACAGTATAATTAACAGTCGTAACACACATCATAATGAGTTTTATCCACTTCTCACTAAAACCCATAACAGTCAGCATTTTTTCCAGAAAGTTCCATTCCATTCTATCATAGGCCTTTGACATATCTATCTTCAATGCACTCCATCCCACTATACCACATTGCTTTCTATTCAGATAATGTCCCACCTCTGCTGCCACCAGGATGTTGTCAGTGATTAGCCTTCCCGGGATAAAAGCACTTTGGGATTCTGATATTAATCCTCCCATTAGTGTTTTCATCCTATTTGTTATCATTTTGGCCATAATTCTGTAAATGACATTACTTAATGTAATCGGCCTTAAATCTGCAACTGTCTCAAGCATCTCCTTCTTCGGTATCAAGACAATGTTAGTATCATTCAAACCCTCAGGGAATACACAGGAATTCAAAACATTCATTATAAAGCCTGATACATCTTCTCCCACTACCTCCCAAAACTGCTGGTAGAAACCCGGATTTAAACCATCCGGACCCGGTGCCTTATCCGGATACATTGAAAAAAGAGCCTCTTTAACCTCATCAGTTTCAAAAGGGCGGTCTAGCATCATATTTTGCTCCAACGTTACTCGTGGGGCTAGGACCCCAAAAAGTGGATCATCACAACTCAATCCATTAGAGGCAAAAATATTTTCAAAGTAAGTCTGTATAGCAGCATGCATACCATCCCCCTCCACCCAGTTACCAGCATCACATTTAATACTAGAAATAAAATTCTTTTTCCTACGTGCAGAGGCATACCTGTGATAAAATTTTGTATTTGCATCAGCCCCGCGTAGCCAGTGCTGCTTGGCCCGCTGCCTCCAAAACACATCCTCCTGGACCTCTACTCGTTTCATGGTATTCTCAATCTGTTGGTATTCAGCTAAAGCCACCACATCTCGTCTATTCCGTATGGCATCTTGCCTCTGCTGCAGGTGGTTAATTCGTTTTCCGAATTTATGAAACTGATCTCCACCCCACCGCATCAACTTTTCCCCACACAACTGCTGACAATGCAGCAATCCCTCCGTTCTCCCCTCCTGCCAGGCCGTTTCAACTACTTCTTTGCACCCCTCATCCAAAAGCCAAGCCATTTCAAATCTAAACTTCCGCGGCCCCCTTCTCCTTGGCATGCAAAACGCCTGAATGCTGAGGAATAGGATCGAATGATCCGAGGCCCGGGTTCGAATATTCTCCAGCCATGCATTCTCATTGAGCAGACCCCAATCATTCGTTATTAAAGCTTTGTCCAATCTTTCCTCTATCCAATTCGGCGTGCCCTTTCCCTTCTGCCACGTATATTGATGGCCCCTCATTGGCATTTGCATCAAACCACAGTCATCCACAGCATCACCGAAACCCCGTAGCAAACTATTAGGATACGGATTTCCCCCCTTCTTCTCATGCTGGTATAGTAGATTATTAAAATCCCCTATCACCACCCAGGGCAACAAGGACCTAGTCTTCAGCGTGCCAAGTAATTCCCATGTTTCCTCCCGCCTACCACGCTCGGGGACACCATAGATACATGTCATGCGCCATAACTTATTAAACAAGCTTATCTCCACATCAATATGACTCTGCGAGTAACTCAAAAGTCTCACCGTATTATTCTTCTTCCATAAAAGCGCCATTCCTCCACTCAAGCCGTCGTTATCAACATAAAATAACCCTTCATACCCAAGCGTAACACGGATCCTTTCTGCATGTATCCGTGGCACCTTGGTCTCCATCAAGAACACGAAATCAGGCTTCTTACTGGACGCTAGGCCCACAATCTGTCGAACTGTGCGTGGATTGCCCAAGCCACGACAGTTCCAGCTCAAAGTACTCATGATGATGGGCGGGGCTAGACACTAGCTCCCGCCGTGGACAAGTTTTTTGAACCAGCTGCAACTGTTACCTCCTCATTCCCACTTCCCTCCTCCCCCTTCGTCTCATGCCTACGACGCTTTGCCGTAGCCACCACCACTTCATCCTCAGACATACTCGTGGGTGCGACACCCCCACTTCCCTGTCCCCCATCCATTGTTCCACCCACACGTGGCCTGGCCCCCAGTGGTCGTGGTTTCCCGCCAACCAGAACAAGCCAGCTATCCCCAACCGCTCTAGGAGCGCTCTGGGATCCACCAGCTCGCATATCCGGACCGTACAGGTACCTTTCCACCGGAATTCCAGCCTCCCTAGCGTGTATGCAGAAAGTATGCAAGTGACCCATACAACCACAGAAATAGCAAAACTTATGGAGCCGTTCATATCTAAAATTTACCCATGCCGTAGTCCCATCTCTCTTCATCAACCGCATCCTCCTTCTAAGCGGCCTATCCACCGAAATTGACACCCGAATACGGTGAAACGTTAGTCATGGCGCCCCCTCAAATCGGTCATCATGTTTAACAAAAGAGCCCAAAAAATTCCCTGCCTGTTCCAGAATTGCATGCGACGTGTAACCCTTCGGCATATCGTGCAACTGTACCCACATGTCAATCATATCCAGCTCTACATCCACCGGATTCACCCCATCCAACACCTCCCGACACACAAGTGCATTATTCTCAAAAGCCCAGGGTCCTCCATTCAGCACATATTCCATATCAGTCTTATGGAAAAAAACAAACAAGAACAAACCCCTTTGAATCTCCGTTACCTGTACTCCACGTACCGGTTGCCAAACAGATGCCAGAACCTGCCTCATAAAGTCCAGTTTTATCATTTTTTGCGTCAAAAACCGCCCGACAATCCTCCAAGTCTCCTCCTCCTCCTCCCCATCACCCTCTACCACCACATCACCACCTTCCGGCATAAACACCGCTCCCTCCTCCTCCATCAAAGCCATCTCCGCCCACCTATCCGTCAACTCCGCCACACCCACCCCCCTCGGCCGGCCTGGTACCGACCCTCCTCCCCCACCCTGCCCCCTTCTGTTACCAGCCCTCTCCCTCAACCTGCCTACCCCCACCGGCACCCCAACTTGCCTCGGAAACCCATTGCCCTCACCACGCCCGACTTCCCCATCCCTGTGCATGCCCTCATACAAACCAGTAAACCATTCTCCCTCCACCCCCCTTACGGTTCGGCGATGGCCTGCCACATCCCTCCAACCGCTTCCTCGTCCATTCCCCTCCTCCACTGTTCGGCGTTGACCATCCAACAGTCCCCCCTCATGCAAACCAGTAAACAAATCTCCCTCCACCCCCCTTTCGGTTCGGCGGTGATCTGCCACAAAACCCTCACCGCTTCCTCGTCCAATCCCCTCCTCCTCCACTGCTCGGCGTTGACGACCCAACAATCCTTGATCAATTTCCATAACTACCGCTCCGGCAATCAACCGGATAGAATTGAAAGATCACCGATGAAAACCCAGGAGAAACCCTAGTAGGAACGCAAAAACCCTAGAGGAAATTTTCTAGAGAGAGATTTTTTAATGCTTAAAAATGAGATTCCAATTATACCGCCAGATGGCTCGTTTGTGGCAGCAAGGAGTAGCAAGTTACCAATTTGCTTTTCACCACTTATGGCGGAGGCCCAGGCATACAAGGAGGCTTTGTCCTGGCTACTTGAACGGGGCAACACATCAGTAAGTATACTCACGGATTGTATGGAGTTGACGGCGATTATCAGGCATCATCACACGCCAATCCATTCCTACGTTGGGGTCACAGTTGATCAGTGCAGAACATTTATGTTATTATTTAATCGTATTACCTTGGATTACATCTCTAGGCAGATTAATTTACATGCGCATACTTTAGCTACATTAGCATTTACTCATGATCAAGATATGTACTGGAATGCTATCCCACCTGACGCTATTTCAGCTTTGATTCATTAATACAATCGCAAGATTGACCTTCAAAAAAAAGGCAAGGACTCAGGAGTAAAGACTATATTAAAAACAAATTAATAAATTAAAGGAAAAAGTGTCAAATTGGTCCTCTAAGTCAAGTGGATAGTGCAATTGGGTCCTCTGAGTAAAAAACGTTTCATTCAAGTGCCTTAAATCAGTAAAATTGTTCAATTAACTCCAATTTGACTTGTTTATCAAGTTAAATCAATACGGTATTGACATGTGTCCTTCGTATTTTTTTTTTGTTTAAAAGTGATTTTTATTTATTAAAATTAAAAATATTTTTTATTATAACTAATTTTATATAAAATAATTAATTAAAATCTTTTATTTAAAAAAAAAAAAAAAACTAAATATGCCGGAGACGATCTCTAGCAGCCTTCGTCTCCATGGCCCAATTGCACTATCCACTTGACTTAAGAGAATACAAGTAAAATAAACTCTAACAAAATTATGGGTTTTAGTGACAGAATGGAGTGGAACTTTCTAGAAAGGATGCTGACTGTTATGGGTTTTAGTGAGAAGTGGATAAAACTCATTATGCTGTGTGTAACGACTGTTAGTTATACTGTAATGGTCAATGGTATAGCAGGGGGCGTGTAAAACCAACCAGGGGACTCAGGCAGGGAGACCTTCTCTCTCCGTATCTATTTATTATTTGTGCAGAGGCTCTCTCGATGATATTACAGTATGAACAGTTGGCAGGCTCTATACATGGATGCAGAGTAGCAAGGGGGGCACCGCCTGTATCACACTTATTTTTTACGGATGATAGTCTCCTATTTTTTAAAGCAAATATCCAGGAGGCGGGAGTTATAAGGCAGTGCCTTGCAAGGTATGAGAAATTGTCAGGCCAGGTGGTCAATTATAATAAATCTAATATATGTTTTAGCAGAAATACCCAGGAGAATGACAGGGCACAGGTAGCGGATTGTCTGGGGGTGGTGCAAGCACCCAATTTTGGGAAATATTTGGGCTTACCTTCCTTTGTAGGGAGAAATAAGAGAGCTGTTTTTTCATATGTGGAGGAGAGGATCTGGCAACGAATTGGTTCGTGGAGTAAAAAGTTACTTTCTCAGGCTGGTAAGGAAGTATTGTTGAAAAGTGTAGCGCAATCTATGCCTACCTATTCAATGAGCGTCTTTTTGTTACCTGAGACAGTTTGTCAGTCAATTGAGCGAACTATGAATAAGTATTGGTGGGGGAATGGAAGAGACAGGGGAATACATTAGAAGGCTTGGGACAGGTTGTGCATACCAAAAAAGTATGGTGGTATGGGTTTTAAACAGCTAAGGGCTTTTAATCTAGCTATGCTGGGAAAACTGGCATGGCGTTTTTTGACGGACCCAGGAACGCTCGCAGCTAAAATCTATAAGGCAAGGTATTATCCCACAACCAGTTTTACAGATGCAACTATTGGCAATTGCCCAAGTTACTGTTGGGGAAGTATAATGGCAGCCCATGCAATGGTAGTCTCAGGGGTGCGAAGGAGGATTGGGAATGGACAGACAACTTTAATATGGGGGCATCCGTGGTTACGAGATAATCCTAGCCCATTGATTCAAACAGAAATGCCAGAACAATTGAGGGAGGCACGGGTTGCAGGATTAATTGATTTACAGACTCATACCTGGGATCCACATATTTTATCTGACTTGTTTATTCCTGAGGATGTGGAGCGAATAAATATGATCCCTATTAGTCCTGATTACGAAGACTCATGGTATTGGATGAGTGACCCAAAGGGGACATATACAGTCAAGAATGCCTATAGGCGTATTGTGGGTGACTATGAAAATAATCCCGTGATTTTTAATAAATGGATTACAATGTGGAAAGTAAAAGTCCCCCCAAATGGAAAACTTTCTTGTGGAGAGCCATATGTGACATTTTGCCAACAACCATTAACTTGATATTTAAAAGGGTGGAGGTGGACCCAACATGCCCAATGTGTGGTTTAGATCATGAAGATGTGTTACATGCTTTAGTGCTCTGTGAATATTCTAGACTTGTATGGAATATAACACAATTGCCTATCACTAATATTATTGCAGCCTCTTTTACAACATGGTTAAAAGGGGCTATGGCGGTCTTGACGGAGAAGCAGACCCGGTTGATGGTAGCAATATTATATTATATCTGGAGAGCCCGGAATTCAGCTGTCTGAAAGGGATCAATGACGCGGCCTGTCCAGTTAGCCAGAGCAGCAACCGTAGCGCTACAGGCATACGGCGCTGCCCAGGCCAGCCGTACCGAGCCGGCAGCGGCTTCGGAGCATTTAACCGAACCAAGGGAGGGCGGTCTACGGTGTTATGTGGACGCGAGTTACCGACACGACACAGGCGAGGCTACGTAGGGCATGTTGATTATAGCGCCAGATGGCTCTTTTGTGGCAGCAAGGAATGGCAAATTACCGATTTGTTTTTCACCACTTATGGCGAAGGCCCAAGCATACAAGGAAGCACTGTCCTGGTTACTTGAACGGAACAACACATCAGTAAGTTTACTCACGGATTGCATGGAATTGACTACGATTATCCGGCACCAACACACGCCGATCCATTCGTACGTTGGGGTCACAATTGACCAATGCAGAACACTTATGTCTTTATTTAATCGTATTACTTTGGATTACATCTCTAGACAGGTTAATTTACATGCGCATACTTTAGCTTCGTTTGCTTTTACACAGGATCAAGCTATGTACTGGGATGCTATCCCACCTGACACTATTTCGGCTTTGATTCATTAATACAATCGCAAGATTGACCTTCAAAAAAAAAAAAAAAAACTCTAACAAAATTGTATTTGGTTTAGGTACTTGAATCTTAATGTTCATTGTTCACCGTGTGTAAATTCGAAGATCGAATTAGGGATCCAAATTAATGCTACTATACACCTTTAATAAAGGCACGGTTTAGGATGGAATTATCTTCCATAAATTCTTCTGTGAAAAAATATCACTTTTGATCCCTTCATTATTATACTTCTGGAAGAATACTACATTTGCTTCTTCTGAAAGGAGCACTTTTAGTAATAGTTGGCCGGAAAATTGAACGTTCAATTTTTCAACCAACTATTGTCAGAAGTACTCAATATGTCAGATTAAATATTATCAAATTAAATAATTAATTGTGACTTAATAATTAAATAATAGCTGCTAGGTGAAAATTGAATTTTCTCAATTATTTATTTTGGAGAAAAAGATCAAATAAATCCTCAAACTTTATGTATAAAGTCGATTATACCCATAAACATGACAAAATTATAATTAGACCCATAAAGATATCATTTTGATGCATTGAAGCCCAACAACCAGTTAATGACTTGCTATTGTAGGTCATTAAAATTCCGACGACATTCTAATTAACTCCGACAAATTTCTAACAACATTTGAAAAAAAAACACGGAGAAGTGACCAAAAGGTCACATGCCATAGAAGACAACCATAAAAACTATAAAATAAAGAAATTAAAGAAAAAAAATTACTTTTAAATTTTTTTGAGTTGTGAGTCGGACTAGGTCAAAATTTTTATTTTTTGACACAGTTCGACCTGACTCGATTTGTTCTCGCGTTCTCATCTAATCAAGTGTTCTCATATGATCATATATATATATATATATATATATATATATATATATATATATATATATATATATATATATATATATATATATATATATATATATATATATATATATATATAATCGCACTCAAGTGCGAATGCTTCACCCAGGCGCGAAATAGGAATGAATTCTGTCCGTCCACGTGTCCAGATCTAATGGATGAGAAACACTGATTTTTTTAAAAAACGCGATGGCATTTTCGCAAATAATTGAACATCGAAGTGTAAGTAAAATGTAGTACAAGTGCATGTGAAATGTATTATAGGTGCAAGTAAAAATTTACATTGAACATCAATACTTAGTTGCACCTATAGTTCTAAGTAGTTGCACTTATAGTTATAAGTAGTTGCATACATAGTTATAAGTAGTTGCACCTAGGTGTATGAATGTTTGCGAGTGGTTTTCAGGGGTATTACTACCCGCTGAACTCAGACCAATGAATGTTAACTAGGTAAAATCACATGCACTTATAGGTGAAAGTAGGTGCACCTATAGTTATAAGTAGTTGCACCTATAGTTATAAATAGTTGCACATATAGTTATAAGCACACCCAGGTGCATGAATGTTTGCGGAAAGTGAATGCTAACAAGGCAAAATTACATGCACTTATAGGTGAAAGTAGGTGCACTTGTAAGTTATTTTACTTGCACTTCGATGTTCAATTATTTACGAAAATGCCACCGCATTTTTTTTAAGTTATTAGATCTGGACACGTGTCGCGCGCTGATTCGTTCGCATATTCCTTCCTGGGCACTTATTCGCACCTGAGTGCATCCCTATATATATATATATATATATATATATATATATATATATATATATATATATAGGATCATATTAGAACACTTGATTAGGTGAGAACGGAGAACAAATCGTGTTCATCCATTTAACTAATTTTAATGATCTAGATTAAGTGTGTACAAACGCGGATTAAATATGTGTAAATGTGATTAAGTGTGTGCAAATGCGATTGATCTAGACGATTAAATAATATTAGATGAATGTACACAATTTATTCTCATGTTCTCACCTAAACAAGTATTATTATTATAATTTCTTTCCCTCCTAATTTCTCCTTTCCCACCAAATGCCATGTAAATTCACAGTCAATTGATTAAGATCAAATAAGTCTACCAGCAGCAACAATAGTGGCTTTTTTTCTTTTTTCTTTTTCTTTTTTTTTTTTTTTGTCTTTCGTTTTGGCACTTTCAAAACATTTAGGACCCTCATACTCTTTTATCTTTCTTTAAAGTAGCTTTTGAAAAGCAGCTTTATCGTTTTCTTTTTCTATTAGCTTTTTCATTTAGCCCCACCATAGTATGATGGTATTGACTTTTCGTTTTAAATTTTCGAAGGATAAGGGTCATATAAATCTCTAAATTATATTGATTTATACAATTAGACTTTTCAATTTTAAAAAATTTTAATTAGAACCTCATACTTTATAAAAAAGTGCAATTAATACTATTTGCAGGTTGACTTTAAGTTAAAGATCAACTACTTGATTATTGAATTTTTTAAATTGATTTAGCTAGCTGATGTCATTTTCACATATTTTTAAAAATAATATATTATATTAAATTTAATTTTTAATTAATAATTATAATCATAAATTAAGAATTAAAAAAATCTTCTAAATTTTATTCGTAGGTCACCCATAGAAATTGCAATTCCATATTAAATGACTATTTTATCCTTATTATTATTATTATTATTATTATTATTATTATTATCATTATATTATTATTATTATTATTATTATTATTATTATTATTATTATTATACAATAACATTTTAATTTTTATTCATTCTTCCCTTTCAATTCCGACCATTATATTCAAGTCTACCAAACAATGTAATTTAAATTATCACTTTATTCTTTTTCCCACCGAATTACAATTTTTTTCCACCATAATTCCCTCGAGCTCTACTACATGTACTCCCAAATCTTACTCCCTCAAATTTACTCCCTGATGTGGCGGACTCTGATAAGTTATTTTCTTCGTTCATGTGGGCACCTGTCAAAGTGTTTACATCAATATTTTAAGTGTGAGAGTAAAAGTTGGTGGTAGAGAATGTGAGTACATGTAGTATTTTTCAATTCCCTCCTCCAACCAAACGCCCTATAATTAGGGGTGTTCAATTGGTTAACCGAAATTTTTAAAATTTTAACCGTTAGCCGAACCAAATTTTGTATTACCGAATTAACCGAACCACATTTTTTTTTGTTAATCGTTCGGTTAACCGATTAATGGAACTTTTTTAAACTAAAGTTTTAAATCCTAAAAATAATTCCTATAATAATAAATCCAATTAAAATAATATATATAATAATAAATCCATAAGAAAATATACAAAAATAATATCATAACAACATTACAAATTTATAAGAATTTTACATATTAAATTATATATTTAAAATTTCGATTAACTGAAGTTTGAAACCGAATTAATCGTTAATCGAAATTTAAAAAAATCTGTAATCATTAACCAAATAAAAAAATTAGTTTAAAAAAATAGTTAATCAGACTATCGGTTCAGTCTGTTAACCAAAAATTTACAAACATTACACCCCCTACCTGTAATTAAAATTTGTCATCTACCCATCATAGTTGTTCCAGATTTTAGACCAAACTTTGATTTGAAACCCCAGACTTCATACCATCTATCTCTCTGCACTAAAGCTAGCGCGATAGAATTAGTACATACACTGAATGGCTTATGTTGTTGTAACTTCTTTACTGGGAATAGTAGATCATCAACTTCTGAAACGCCATCCACCAATTTTTGATGATACACAGATAGCGAAATCCTTGTCTGAGAAGCTGGGCTTTGTCCAAGCCATTCTATCAGCGAAAAAAACCATAAATCAAGAACTAGAGGCAAAAATCAGAGACGTAGCTGTTGAAGCAGAGGCTGAAATTGAGTCACAACTCGGAGCGATTTACTTGGCCAATAAAGATTCTGTAGCCGAGGCTTCTGATGGGCTTCACCAGATCTTGAGGAAAGTGTTAAAAGATATCGAGTCACTTGAAATCAGGATCCAAAATGAAAAGGAAAACAACCCTGGGAATAAAATGATAGGATGCGAGGATGAATTTGGGAAAATAATGAGCATGGTCGTAGATCACCAGTTTTATAAAGATCGGATAGTCATCCCAATTACAGGCATGGGTGGCATCGGAAAGACAACACTAGCTAAAAAAGTCTACGAAGATCCACTTATTATGTCTCAATTCGATGCTCGAGCATGGGCAGTTGTGTCTCAAGAATACCAGCTTAAAGAGATGCTCATACACCTTTTACATTGCACCAACCCGAAAACCACCAAACTTTACAGCGAGGATTGTGGTAAGCTAAAAGAAGAACTGCGCAAAAGTTTGTTGGGTAGAAGGTATTTGCTTGTCATAGATGACATATGGAGCCATAAACCGTGGGATGAAATCATTCAATGTTTTCCAGACAATATCAATGGAAGTCGAATCCTGATCACTACACGAGAGAAAGCTGTGGCTGAATACGCAATAAAATCAAGTGAG